GGGATGGAGGAGGGGGATGGGGGAGGGGGAGGGGAAGGAGGGAGAGGAGGGAGAGGAGGGAGGCAGAGAGGGAGGGAGTGAGAAGGGAAGAGGAATGGAGGGGAATGAGGGAGGAGGAAAGGTGAACAAGGGAGGCGGAAAGGAGGCGGAGGGAGGAAGGAGGAAGGAGCTGGAAAGAGGGAGGGAGGAGGAAGGAGGAAGGGGGAAGGCGGATGGCGGAAGGAGGACAGACGAGGGAAGGGAGACAGGAGGAGGAGGAAGAGAATGCGGAAGGAAGGAGGAATGAGGGAGGAGGGAGGAGGAGAGGGGGGGCGGGCGGAGGGCGTGGCGAGGCCGAGGGGCGAGCGGTGAGGGAGGAGGGAGGAGGGAGTCGGGGCGGTGAGCTCCCCGAGCTCGCCGCGTGCAGGTCCTGAGCCGCGGGTCATCCATCGCAAGAGCGGGGCACGGGAGCGAGGAGGGGGGAAGGGAGGGAGGGGGGAGGGAGGGAGGGAGGGAGGGAGGGAGGGAGGGAGGGAGGGAGGAGGAGGAGGAGGAGGTGGATCCGGATGTTGATGATGATGATGATGATGATGATGAGATGATGATATGATGATGATGATGATGATGATGATGATGATGATGATGATGATGATGATGATGATGATGATGATGACGGTGGTGGTGGTGGTGGTGGTGGTGGAGATGGTGATGATGATGATGATGATGATGATGATGATGATGATGATGATGATGATGATGATGATGATGATGATGATGATGATGATGATGATGATGATGATGATGATGTTTTTTTCCTCGACGTCAGGACCAACATCTGATGGAAAGATGTGGCGTACAACGGATCCAAACTTACAGATCCGTCGCAGAGAGCAAACTGTCTCGTACTGCCCTGCGTGGGCCAAGCTGCCAGGGTGCTGCGCAGAGGGGCCTCCTGCGCAGCGCGTGCCAAGCAACGTCTCGGGTGCTAGCTGAAAAAGTATTCGGCCGTTTCATCCTCGGCGATTGTATCGAACTCAGGTGGGGCCTCCACCTCGCATAGCTCCTCTGCATGTGCGGGCACAGCAGGGGGGAGAAGTGGAGGCGCGTCGGAGGCGGGAGGGTACGTGACCGTGACTGTGCTACTGCTAGCAGGGAGGGCTTCGCCTCGGACAAAAATGACACGGCGCTGGATAGTGTCCTCTCCGTTTATGCTTGCATTGTGCCGTGCAGGCTCGCTCTGGCAAAAAAGCGGGTTCACTGCTCGGGCGTCTCCATCCAGTGGCCGTCCTCTTCCTCGAGCCAGCCCGCTTGGCCCTCGGCCACGCCTCTGTGGTGGACCGCCTGGCCCTCGGCCTCGAGAGCGCGGCTGATCAGGTCTCGGCCCTCCCACATGGGCGCGCCGATCACCAGCTTCGTCTTGGTGTCGTCGTAGCACTTCTCCAGACGCACAAAGGAGATGACGTCGAGGAGATCTTCCTTGCTGATCTCCGCCTCCGCCTCGATGTCCTCGGGCTCCGCTCGGAGCAAGTAGTTCCGAATGGCGCTCTTCATAGAGCCGCCCACGTCGCACTTGCGCAGTCCTTCCAAGGCCGCCAGCGCGAGGGAAGGAGCTGGCGACCCTATCTACTGCAGGCGTTTCTTGTCCTCTGGGGTGCCGCTCTTCTTGAGGGAGTCCAGGGTGTGCTTGTAGCCCTCGAGCTCCTGCGTGATGGCTATGATCACTGGGTGCTCGTTGCTCATAATGTAGGTGTCCGTGTTGATGCTGCAATTCAGCCTGGTCTTGTGCGCCGTCTGGAGCGACAGCTTCTTGTACTCGCCGTTGTCTCCCTCGTCCACCTCGATGGGCGTGGTTTCTGGCGTGGCTGTCCCCCCTTCCTCGGCTGGTGTGCGTGGTGATCGCGATCGCCTCTGCGACGGCGGCGGCGGGCCTGGCGGACGTGAAGCCGTTGTCGCCTTCTGGCCTGGCGCGGCGCTGGAGGCGGTGCCAGAGCCCTTCGAGCCCTGGGAGGAGTCCAGCGGGAGTCGCCACGACGCTCTCTGCTTGGGCGCCATCCCCTGGTCCATGAGGTAGTGCAGGAAGAGTAGGCGTAGAGGAGACAGTAGCCACTCGTGGTGACCGCGTAGGTGTTGCATATGCTGTTGCTGGGCGCTGTGCCGCTCGTAGCCGTCGAAGTGGTCGGTGTCTAGGTCTGCTGTGAGGGTCGTTGCCCACGATGTGTTCCACCGACTGACGAATGGCAGCGCGTACAGCAGGGGTGTCCTCGATGGCAGGCGATGGGCGGCAGCTGGATGGCGCGGGGCGTGGCGGGGGAGCACTCGGAGTGGCCGAGCGCGCGGTAAGCCTTCTGACGACAGGCTTGAGGATGGAACCCGATGGCGACGGTGGGACATGTCCCAGGACGTGAGCTCGAAGTTTTTGCTGATCATGATATTCATGTTGGCATGCATGGTCCAGGGCGTAGTCCCGTAGAGGGCACGTAGTACATGTGGCTGGGATCCAGGGGTGTACATGATGAGTAAGTTCTGGAATGCATCTGCCTGCTTCCCATGCTCGTCGTAAGTGTCTAACTGCATGATCTTGATTGGGAAACGTAGTTTGGCACACAATACATTTGTTGTCGATGTGTAGGGTAGTCAATACCGCTGGCATGCCGTGTCCTAGGCTCTTAGCTTTAGTTTGGTGCGTGGCGAGCTGTTTGAGCGTCCCGAACCGTTTCTGGCATGACTCGATGTTGCACACGAAGGGGCGGTTCGTCTCGTCGTCTGTGTCCGTCTCGTCGTATGTTGCCGCCGAGGGGAGAGAGGAGGTGATCACGCTGGCCTCGGGGGGGGCCCGCTGAGTCGTCCAATAAGAAGCCCTGAGAGCCCGAACGTCGCAATTTAAGAAGGCCTCTCGAACCCACCCGTCATCCCACAAGTTTTTTACAACTCGAGGTTGCCACGCTTCCTGAAAGCTCTCGCCGATCGTGTGGGACGACAGGCACAGCAGATCGTCCGCGAGCTGTGTGGCCCACGGGTGCACGTTCGGGTCTGCGGAGATCTCACCCTGCGAATTGAGGGTGCCAGCGCTGACGGGGCGGTTGCTTATGGCCGCCTGCTGCTCGAACTTGCATCTTCCAAAAAAAGAAGCGAGAAAGTGGCCATGATGCGTGTGTGATCGGATTGTGCTCTGCCACCAACTGAGCCTGCGCACGAGTAGCTCGATGGCTGCCGGTGCAACTTGCCATTCAATAAACACTTGGCGGGTAGACAAAGATCGATGATTGTTGTGCTCATCCTCCTGATGTGCCGCTCCTCTCATCATTGATCGTAGTTTGCGGGCCAGCGAACTGTCGAGTCTGTGGAGCTCTCTAGGGGGCAACACATAGCTTTCGAGGCCAGACCAAACCCTCCCCGCGACGTTGGACACGAACGCGAGCCGTTTAGCCTTCGAAGGACGTCCAGAGAACCAGTAGTCGCCCACACGGCACCACCCGATCTTACCTGATTGTATACGGGCCTCGACTTCACGACGATTACTGTTGACAACATGTACATATCCTCCGAGATGAATCAAGTCCTGGACCGCGTTCCCAGAAATATTCCGTTCGGCCTCCTTCGTAGCCCCATGGGTGCCCAGTGAGACCAGGGTGTCCTGCTTACTGGCGTTCTGTGCGTAGCCGCCAGCCTCGAGGGCCTGGGAGAGCGCGCTGTTGTCGATCTTATCAATTTGCAGCGCCTGGAGAGCCGCGCCGTCTGGCACCAAGAGGATCTTGACTAGATCGTCAATGAAAGCTCCAAGATGCGCATCAAACTCTTCACCAGTAAAAGGCAGTGTGCCTGGAACGGGTTCCCCTGGACCTGCGCCATCTCCTGGGGCCACTGCTTAACTAATGGATAATGATCCCATGAAAAGTTCAGGCTCGTTTGAATCGCCCATCCCCCCTCCCGTCCCTGGTCGAAGAGCTATGCTAGCATCGGACGCCTGCAGAAATACTACAGCCTGATGTCGGTGTTGCTCAAGGAGGGGCTGAAAATGCTCATCTTCGCATCGAAGTGCGCGGGCGGCAACCAGTCGCTCGTGGGAGCCTGTCGCGAATGAGTTCCGCATGTCGTACGACTTAGCGAGAAAAGACATTCTGGCGGATCTCATCTTCCACATCAAAAGCTTAGCAATGAGCATGAGTGGTTCGCGACGGCGGGAATGAATGCCTCCATAGGCCCACGGCGGTGGATCGAATTGGGTTCCATACTGCACGAGTCCTATCCTAAGATACAATCGCCAAAAACGGTCGAAACAGCGAAGTAAACGTACGTACGCATGGATGCCCTGAATCACGTTGCCAGTAGGGATTGTTCCTTTTTTTCCGATGGTGACCGCCTGGCTTGTGAACGCCTGGGCGGGCAGAGATCCACATCGGTGAACATGAGCGAGTAAAGTGACGAACGTCTGGATGATGGTGGTGCCGGCGTCGTAGTCGATCACGAGCTTCCGTCGACTGGGTTGGTAGACCCGCTCGGCGAGCGGGTCCGCGCATTGATAGTCGGCGGTGCCATGTCCCACCCCTGCCCGTTGAACACCAGGGCGCGTCAAATACTGGGGGGCGAGGAGCATGATGGTGAGTTCGATGGGCCATGCCCATGGTGGATTGTAGCGCCTCCGTTTTTCCCTCCACAGTCGTTTCTGCAGATGGTCGAGCTCCTCCGCTGCCGTCTCAATGTCGTGGAGCTCAGGGGCGCCGATGTGCTCCCCCACTGGTTGAACGTCGTTCGGTTGGGCCAGTAGTCGTGGAATAGCAGTCGGGTCGTAGATATACATACTGACGTAGGCAGGCGTGGCAGAGAGTCCCCCCTGGACGGCTGGCTGGGTAAGGGCGTCGGCGTATTCGGCTGCAGTGGGACGCGTGGATGGCAGTGCAAGGTATGATCGTCGTCGTGGTCCTGTCCGCCGTCCCGCTCGGGCGTACGTGAGAAATGCAACTCGAGAGAGGTCGCGAGTGGCCCACGCGTCGCGCATGTCCTGGTCGAGGCTGACTTTCCACCAGTGATCCATCCATCGTTGGTGTGCTCGTAGGCGTCGTTGGATCTCGCGCAGGGCTGCGTGATTAAAGGGTAGTCGCCGGGCTCGACAGTCAGCGCGTTCTTTAAGCAGACGGAGTCGTTCAAGTCGAGCTTGTTGGTACCATTGTGGTTGTCCTCCTTCCTTTGTGTTGTGCTTGCGGCCGCATTCACGAATGATATGAGCGATTAGGGCGTTGTGTCGGGTCGGAAACTGATCCATCTTGACAACTCGGAGGACCTCCTTGTGTTTGCCGATCTCGGCATAGACGTCATTGAGAAATGAAACACGGTGGGCGCCCGTCTGGAGCCCGGCAGCGAGGAGGCCGAAGTCCCAGCGAATGTTGTTGTTCGTGATATTGACGCCGCTGATAGGCATCTTGATCTGCATAATCATGGGGACGTGGTCGGCAACGTGTAGTAGGCTACGTAGCTTGGTGTGGATCTTACAATTCAGCTTCACATATTTCACGATCTCCATAGGGTTGTCGTAGCCGATGAAGTAGTCGATGCGTGATCTTGCTTTGTTAGGCCCGTAGTAGGTGTTGCCGACGTCGATGTGCGCGCTGATGGCCGTCAGCTGGCGAGTCAAGAGCTGGTCGTGAATGAAGCGTCCGAACTCGGTCTCGTCACTGGCGTGGTAACTGCCGATCGCGTTGTCGGTGTAGAGATGTCGTGATCGCCGTCCTAGACCTTGTCTGAGGTCCGTGAACAGGATAGGCGTGACGCGAGCGGGGGCGGCGGTAAGTGTCTGCAGTACCCAGCTCCATAGTCGTCGGCACCCTGCCTTCCAGCGTTGGTGATGGCCTGCTCCGTTCGGCCGTGGTGGGAAATACGCAACAATGAGTCGAAGACGGAGCTGGCCTCGATGCAGCTCAACGGCGCCTGCGCGGCCCCGTAGGTCGGGTCGTAGGGGGTGCAGTACTTTGACGATGTCTATCTTGCGGAAGTGGCGCTTGGATACTGCGATGCTGCAGCCTGCCGAGCTGTTTGCGTGGGCCCCACGGCCCCAGCCGATGTGGACCCAAGTATGGTGGAGGCTGTCCTCGAGATGGTGCGAGGCGTCGGTGGTGCGTTGTCGCATCTTGGCGCCTACGTACAGCATAATCTGAATGGCACGGCATGTGTCGGAGATGTGGTCGAGACGCCCTGGAACTCCCTTGAGCGAGAACGAGTTCCATCCCAGTATCGCGATGGCCTTCGTCGTGGCGTAATGTGGGCGTACGTCGGGGTCAGGGCGGCGTGGGGGTGGGCTAGCAGTCTCGCTATGACGAAGAGACGGAGCCCCCCC